CGACGCAATTAGAATGAAGTCCAACCAGCAGGTTCGAGAAGGTTCGGGTAATTAAGCTTTTCTCTTTGCAGTCGGTCATCATACATCGCATCACTGATGACATTTTTCACAGCCTTGAAAAAGTATGCCCGAGGGAGCCTGTACTTCACTGTGGACGAGGTGAAAAAACGCTATAGGGAGGATTGCCAACATATATTTGAATTGCAAAATAGGTGGGTCGTCATCTTGGTGTCGCTTGCCTGTTAGGCAGACGAAGTATGTTTACTTGCAGGGTACTGAGTTCTCGCGAAGTGATCAGCACTGATGAAGAGAGCGAAATCGATGATTCTGACATCGAACAGTTTCAGAAAGAACTTGAAGAACTTTTAGCCAGCGACAAAACGATGCATGAGCGGAAGGACAACGGGGTATGTTGACGTTTCATGTTTCTTTGCATTTCGACCACTGAGTCGGATGACCAGCGGCTGACGTATTAATTGACTTAACTCTAAGGTACAAGGTTTTTCGACTTTGTTCTGATCAATTATGCTTCAACACTGGTGAGATGACAAAATCGTAATTGTAGCGCATTGCAAAAACGCATGTAGACTCTTTTGGATGCATTTCACTTATGAAATAAATCGCAATACAAAATTACTTTAGTTTGTACCTAATTCATATACAGGTAGTAGGTTTGTATCTTTAAATTTTGTCAGTAACTTTACATGATGGATTTAGGTTCGAAATTCCATCTTATGTGAGAATCTGCTCAGAAAATACAGTAAGCGAGAGTGCAGCTGCCCATTGAACTTCGCCTACCTTGGTTCTGATGTCTCATGCTGTCTCGGTCTTGGATAGTAGCGTTCCGTCAAAATATTTTTGTGAACGTTATCGGTTATTTTGTAGTTTGACGAATGATGACAATGAACTGTTGGTAGTGAGTCATCGGTTATTCACGCCCCCGCCCGACTGTCAGTCTGAGGACATTCTGGGATAGTATTACGATGAGCGACGTAGACCATTTCAAGCCCCTCAGAATTGCGTTCGATAATGATGGCGACATTGATCTTGAAAAGAACCAGTACACAGAACTGTCATCAGCGAGTTTTGACCTACTACTTTTTTAACACGGATAGAGCTTGACATGACCACAGGGTAAATTTATGAACTGTTAGAATTGAATCCAATTATGCTGGGCCGGTTGGTTTCACTGGTTTCTTTTAAGGCTGACTTGTCATAGGCAGCGCAGTAAAACTGTCACTAAAATCAGCCATGGAGTTACCAGATTCATAGCTGCCTATGTCGTAAACCAGTTTTTAGATTCGCACAGTTTTGATTTCTCCATTTTGATTCATAACAGATGCCTTTTAAGCTTATCTTGATGCATGATTAAGAAACCCAAACATAAGCAGACCTGGAAATGTTTCACTAACGCATTTCGTTACCAATCCCGGTGACATCGTCAATGCTGAATAATTTAAAAACTCAACTGGAAATTCTGGCACAATAACACTGTACTATTAACATAATCCTGAGTAATCGTTGTGTCACTCAGTTGAAAATTTATATTTTTCGCAACAGTTTACTGACTGTACCACAGCCTTGACTTATATCAGGGGATGAAAAGTATTTATTGCACATTTGATGTTTTCGTGCTAAAAAGTCAGCGGATTCGTTGACTAATAGCCATAACCTGACGTTCTTTCCGTCAACCGTGAATAATTCACGTGAAACACAGGATATTGGGTGACAGTACTGCTTGAGAGAGTAGGTTTTCGGTAAACCGAAAACTCAAATTTGCAGTGGTTCTTATGGTAATCATTTTTTAAGTACATTCAGGAATGAGAGGGTTGTTGCTCGACTTCTGTAACAACATAAAATTCAGCACAGAGGCTGAGCAACAGCAGATTCTGTCGTTCCTGGATGTGTATATAAAACGTGGTAGCCGGAAGAACCATTATAAGTTAGAATTTTCTGTCTATCGAAAACCTATTCGCTCCAGCAGGTATCTTCGCCCAAAATCCTGTGTTCAACTTGCGTTATTCATGAGCATATTGAAAAATATGCGTCATTATGCTGTGGCAGCGTGTGGCACTGGAAATAACCTAATGGAAAAATTCTATTTTACCCCAAGTTTCAGAACAAGTCAAAAAGTACTTAATGAAAAACAAGTTTAGTACCCAGTGCAAAAAATGGGATGACACCCAGGCGTGCTTTGTTTTAAGAAATTCAATCCAGGCAACGCAGCCGAAGCGCCTGGTGTGGTTTATAAGATAAAATACAGTGATTGCACCAGAATTTATATTGGTAAGACAACTTGATGGACATTATCATAGTGGAAAGACATTTGTCTGCAGTACGCAGCTACAGTGTTGAGCATTTCGGCATTGCATCCCATGTCATTGGCGAAGAATGTGACTTCACAGAAACGAGTGTTACGGCAGTTGACGGAAAAATTTCATTTTGGGGTATTAATCAATGAGTCCGTTCATATTTTTTGTACGAAAACATCAAATTTGCTATGAATCCTGTTTATCCTCTGATATAAGTCAGAGATGGGGTATAATCAATGATCTGTTACAAAAATGGAAATTTTCTAGTGAGTGGTGCACAACGGTCTCAGGATTATATTAATAATACATAGTTATTGTGGCAAAATTTCGAGTTGACTTTTCAAATTATTCCGTTATAATGAAATGCATCGACTTTCAGTAGAACTTTTTCATCTGTTTCAGGTTTAGATTTCTTGACAGTGCATCAAGAAAACAATCCATTGATGAATTACGCGCCTAGAATCGCGAACTCTTTTAAGAAATTTTTGTTAAACTTCCTTCTCGCCCGCTGTCTTAGGCCGCCAGACGCAAGCTTGTGCATATTTGTGCAGGAATCGTAAGATAAATGTTATGCGTATATATGTATATGCAGAAGCATGTATATGCGTAAATTCTTACTCATCCTTGATTTAATGTTTTCAGGATCATTTCAGCGATGAAGCTGAAGAACTGGAAGAATTGCGGAAAATGGTGCATGGTGAAACTAACTCAATGCAGAAAGAAATGCCTCCGAACAAGTCGCATGGTTCGCACGAAGATGGCGAAGACCTGAGGGGCAAAACCTTAAAAATATACAGAACATACAGACGCGACGATGGCACCGAGTACGAATCTACAGAGTGCGTGACGAGTTTACCCGTAATCCAAGCGTACCTGAAGATTCGTAAGCAAAAGGACGAAACGTTCATAAGAAATTATGCTCAGATGGATAATCGTTTTCTCGTGGAACAACGAAGACAGGACAGGCGGGATCGAGTAAAGCTTTACTTGTTGCTAATCTCTTTTCATAGATTTACTCGATTTGCTTTCAGGCACGGCTTCGCCGTCACAATAAAATGCAATTTTCGCTGAAATTGGGTCTTCCTATTGAACGTTGCCACAAGAAAAAACAGTGGAAGCCATCTTCACGATATGTTTCGAGACCTGATTCACGTCCCGTTCACTGCAGCGCTTGCGGCGCACGAGGTCACATAATGGTTAATAAGAACTGTCCTTTATACAAGACGACTAAAATGTTGCTGAAAGAGTCGGTCAGGGAGAAGCGAAAATTTGCTTCGACGCCCAGAAATCCTGTTTCTGCCGAGAGAATGGAAGTACCATTGCGCAAGCTTAAAAAGCCGGTAGTTCCGATTCATAATCCCGTGAAGCTGAGTACTTTGAAGTCGAAAGCAATGACGGGGGATTCCGGTAGCATGTCACATCGAAAATCATTTCTGGACAAAGGGAAGGGTCATAAGAACGGATCATATCGCCAAGGCGCCAATTCAAAGGCACTGATATCGAAGGTGTTTGAAGCGATCCTTGATAAAGTCAAGAATATGCCACAGGCGAAGAATTTTCTGTCATTCACAGGCAAAGAAAACATGCCTGGTTGTTATGAGATCGTCAAAAATCCGATGGATCTGCAGAAGATTCACATGAATGTGAAAAATAACCATTACGTGACGAGAGAGGAGTTCTTGAAGGACGTGAAGCAGATCTTGGACAATTGTCGTCTGTACAGCGGTGATCAAAGCTCCTTAACTTACGATGCGAAGAAGGTCTTTGAGTTCACTTGCAGGCTGATCACGGAAAAGGAGCACGAAATCATGTTGCTCGAAAAGGCGATCAACCCGCTTCTAGACGAAAACGACCAGGTGGTGTTCAATTTCATTCTGGAACGCATAGTCGACTCGTGCAAGAGCATTCTGCGTTCCTTGGTCTTCCATAAACCGTCCGAACTCACTGGAAAGACCTACTACGATAAGGTAACGTGTCTGGCGGACTTAGATACAATGAAACAAAAGTGCAGACAACGGAAGTACTGTTCGATTGACGAATTCGTGAAGGACGCTGAATGGATCTGCATCAACAGCCGAAACTTGCACGGTCCATCGTCGCCGTTTACTCAGAAGTCGTCCGAGATCGTCGCTATGGCCAAGAAACTCGTAACTGAAGTACGATTATGAACGCTCTGTGATTATTGCAAAACTTCCGTTGTGTGTAGTGTGATTCAGAATTTATTGCTTGTTCTTTTGATACTAACAGCTCTTCTTTAGGTTTTTGTTTTCATCGATTTCTGGGTGGCATGCGTCAGACGTCTTCCCTTTTTCTCTAGGATTTGCGTGTTCCTCTTGATGTTGCTAAAAATGTCCAAAAAGTGCGTGTGATCTTTCAAGGGGCCTAAATTTTATAACTATAACTGCGGCACGTTTCTTGATCTGTGGATAAGTTATTCGAATTGTAAAGGGAGCCCTGATTTAAAAATTCCGGTGCAGGCATCCATTGGTTCGAGGAGTTTTACCCGTAGGACAGCTGTTTCCTGTTGCATTTCGAGTAGTTCGCTATATCTTCATTCGGCTTTATAGATGGCCCAACTTATCATTTGTGACACCGAGACAGAGAGTACCTTCACGAATCTAAGCTTGGTAAAGTTTGGTATTCTGCTGAATTTGCAATGGAAGGCTACGTATGCTAGTTATCAGTTATTGTGTATATCAGCGGTTTGAAATCGAAGTGTTGGTTTTGCTGGAGTAAGTTATTTTATGATTTTGAAAACTTTTGTTTGAAACTGAATCAGTCGTTAATTAACAATTTCCTATTTCTTCTTCCGGACCATCCTCACTGAGGACGGTTGGCGACATGATATGCGTAAAACGGTTGCTCTCATTTCAGTTTCTGAACTGCTTAATAAAGGGCTGCCTTCTCCTTGCACCGGCTTTTATTTTCTTTCAGTGTTTCTTGAATTTCTTTGAGTGTGGAATGTGAGCACAAGTGTTTCTTGTATACATCTGTCCCGTCCACCTTGTTTTGACCTGCATCAAGTTGATTTGAACATGCGCGCATAAGTTAGTAACTAGC